TTGTAGCCCTGCATGTTAATGCATTTTTCTCTGTGTATAAACCATAAATTAAGAACACAGGCTTCCTTTTCTTTTTCTGTTTTTATGGTCTGTAAAAAAGCCATTTATACTCTATCTCATGATTTATCTGTTATCATACTGGGCATTCAAGATCATTTTCATACTATTTTTCAATGAATCTGAGAAAAGTAATTCTATTTTTGATACAGTTTTTGCAAATTCAAGTAATGTGTTTTGGAAATCTCTAGTTTCTGCTTATGAAATGGATGCAGAATCTCTCTCTGTGGTTGTTCTGTAAAGCAACGCTTTTCTCATATTATATATTTTTCCATCATGCCTTTTGTATTTTACAACGATGAGAAACAGCAGTTTATATCTAATAAAAGACAGAAGATATGCCAGATTTTCAGTAGCAAGCTGCAGTGAAGTACATAATGTTTGGATTTCACAGGCTGGCAAAGACTGTTAGATATGTCCTGATCCTTTTAGGGTAACATTTTTGTTGGAAATGAAACTCTTCAGGTTAAACCAGGTACTCAACTTGGTCAGTAACCTCAGCCTGCACAGATTATGTATTTTAATTTATTTATGTTGCCTTTACAATTAGGAAATTCAAGCTTTGAGAGCTCTCTCTTGCTGAAACAAAACCAGTACAGACAATAAATGTAGGTTATTTATAGAGACAATAAGAATTCATATCCCCTCAGAAATCATGACCCATTATAGCCAATAAATGGTGCCATCTTCCAGTGCAGTAGAAATATTTGAAGCTCAGGAACATGTATATCTCATTGACTTCTCCCCATAGCAAAGCCTGCTGCCATGGTTTACATATGGGAGCACAGCTGGTGTCGTACTCCACAGGCTGTTAAAGAATGGGATTGGATTTCAGGGTTGCCAGAAGGATATCTGAGGCCTTTTTGAGGAACCATCTGAACAGCACTGCTACTAGGGTAACCCTTATTTTTTTCACTTCACTGTTGTTTTTTATTTTAAACTTTGACATTTTTTCTCAGTTAGTGTTGTTTGGTATTATCACATCCCAACTGTTTTTATTCTATGCAATAGACATTTTAAAAAGGCAACTTAAAAATAAAATCTGGCTGCAGTAAGGGAGATATTATCACACATTATTTTTATATTCTTGTTCAGAATTCTTTTGTTGTTTTATTGCTTTTCACAACATTTTTAAATTTTAGAATTTATAACCCATTTTAGAAATGATCATCAGAGGATATTAGTCTTACCCATGAAGGACAGATGATACACATTTTTACAGCTTATTAGGCTCGTAGATTTACCCTGAACATATACACAGACTCTGCTTGAAATATTAGCCTCCTACACAGCTACATTCAAATTACTGGGTAGATGGTGCCACTGGGGTTCCTGTTTTGTACGCTGCAACTATCAAGATTCAGTGTGCCAGTGAGGATCCTAATGATAGCTAAGATTCCCAAAACTTTTGGTTTTCATGGCAACCATGCAGTCTGTTGTACAATAACTAGTGCTCTGTCATTCGTTTCAAGTTGAGCTTTGAAAATATTTGGCAGTTGAAAAGAATTGTTTCATGCCTTCTCTCGACAGAGCATGATATTTTTGCCTGATACATTTTGTTAGTACACAAGATACATCTCTTTCCATGAAATTAATTGGCAGGGGGCTTTCAGTGATATTAATGGCTATGTGATTAGCTTGTTGTTCTTTGCACTATGATAATGAGATCTTCCTTCAGGGGAACACTCATCTGATCCTCAGCTTGCATGCTCTTCAGATGAAGCTTATGAAGGTTATAGTCAGAGGTGGAAAAGTGTAACGTCAGCAAGAAAAATATTCATTAGCTGCAAATATTCAATAAGATATCAAGTAGGCAGGGCCGAACACAGTCATTTACAGGGGATATTAAGAGAAGAAGAGACCTGTCAGAAATACTTCTGCCAAAGGTCTGCTGTTGCCTCCTGTTGCTCTGGACTGCAGTCCCAGAATGGTGCTGGGGCAGGACATTTCACAGAATCACAGAATTGAAGGGGTTGGAAATGAACCTCGAAAGATCATTGGGTTCAACCCACCTGCCAAAACAGGTTCCTTAGAGCAGGCTGCACAGGTAGGCATCCAGATGGGCCTTAAATATCTCCAGAGAAGGAGACTCCGGAACCTCCCTGGGCAGCCTGTTCCAGTGCTCTGTCACTCTCACCATTAGGAAGGTCTTTGGCATATTGGTGCGGAACATCCTATGCTCTATTTTGTGACCATTACTCCTTGTCATTTGATGCTGATGGCATAAAACTGAAGTCTGGGCTCCCTGTAATCCCACAAATAACATTAATTTATACTGATCCATATCAAGCACTGTGCTTTCATCTGCTACTCCAAATGACAATAAGGTCTGAGCTTCTGTCTGCTGAAAGTCACAAGAAGAACCTGAAAACTTTTGGTGGGTTCCAGGTCAGATCTATGATACTCATTTTTGCAAGAGTATTTAGGACACAATTGAAACAAAACAAAACAGAACAAAAACAAAAACAAAACAAAACAACAACAACAACAACAAAAACAAACAAACAAAAACTAACACGGAAATACATGCCTAACTTTAACAACTAAATATGCACCATCTGAATAAGGATGTTGTCTTGAATCACGGTGGCTAAATGTTATAATACTGTTATTAATATGCATTAATTAGAAGCAGTCATCAGCAGATGTAGCTATGCATTGGTAGGTGGAGTGGTGCATGTGGATCCTTAGGTTTTGTAAGTGGATTGGGCTCTCCAATTGAATGGTGTTCTCATGTGCTAATTAAAGGAGTGGCTTGAGAAGGGTAACCTGTGTTTGAGTGGATCTCAGTATAGTGGACATTTTTCTTGAGATATGTGATGATAAAGGACTCAGATCTATTTCTGCTGTTTTTCTTTTTGCATGCATAACTGCAGCCAATTTATTCAACAGGCGACATCTGGTACATTTCTGTGTTTATGGTACCATAAAAATCTCTGAATGCTTACAGAGAAGTAGTCATTAGAACTCCTTTGATCTGGGTGAGGAATCAAAGAGCTTAAAACCAGAGAAAATGAATTAGCTAATTAGTTTAATCTGACCTTCTGTGTATCACATGTATGTTGCACTTTACTCGAATATTCTTCTGTAAAGCCTGCATATTTAAATTAGTCTGATGGTCTGTAACATTCAGGGAAACGAATGGTGTAACATATACAGGAAGCAGATGATAGAAACCTCCCTGATATTTCTGGTAAGGGTGAGATTTGCTGTGGTAGTTACAGTAAATAAAGCATGTTCCACTCTCCCCTGCTTCTGAAAGCATATATTGCTCAATAAAAAAGAAAGAAATTACCCCCTCCACCCTCAAAAAAAAAAAAAAAAAAAGAAGGAGAAGGAGAAGGAGAAGGAGAAGGAGAAGGAGAAGGAAGAAGAAGAAGGAGAAGAAACTAGGCATCAAGACAGTAACTTTTCCACACTCCCTTGTAGCAGATGTTCATTCCACCTGGTGCCTCAGCTCCAGTTGTGGCCAAGCACTGACTATCAGGGAAAAAAATGTGAAGGGAAAAAGTCCTGTAGTAACATTTCTTCGCTCTAGTGCCTGCATGCTGGGATATACTCTTGGCCTTCTACAAACTGTCCTGCCATGATATGGGTGTCCATGACTCAGTACCACCAATCATCAGCTCGAATAAGAAATTAGTTCTCAGTAAGAACTCAGTTACTGCTCCACTGGTCCCTAAAGCAGACAGGTTGCAGTGTAACTAACTTGTAGCTGCCCCTTTGCTTCCTGCACTTGATTTGACCTACACGTCGTCTTTTGTTTTGCTAAATATATGTGGTCTAAAGCTTTCAGCAAAATGAAGTAACCTTGTTTGGAGACGAACTACAATGTGAAAGAATGTATTTGCCTTTTAGCAAATGTAATAGGCATCAAATCAATTATCTCAATAAAGGCTACAGAACATTTTACTGTCTGGGGAGCTCCAAGCTTCTATTGATGGACAAAACTTTTTGTTGTTTTCAGTGTGGTTGTTTATAAAACAGAATAGAGAACTGATTAGGAGTTGTTTGGAATTAAAACACTCAGCCAGGCTGGTGTTCTGGGTGTCAAGTGCAATGAAGGAACAAGAGCAATGGAGTTGGAAAACTAATTTTAATTTTCAGTGTCTAAGTTGAGCAATTAGGAAAGAATTAGGTTGACATGGCCATAACCAAGAAATGTCTATAGGTAACAAATGTCAAGCTTATCCCAGTAACACTAATTTAAGCTAGCTTTCATGTGTGTTTGTGCTCTTCCTAGCTCCTTCATCCATAAGTTACAAAATATTGATGGGGTGAAGAGGCACAGACTTTTGAAAACATGAGGATTCCTTCAGTCTGAAGATTTGGGAGTTCATGACAAGTTAGTCAAAGAACCTATGTGATTCAGGAGACCAGGTACCATTCTCAAGTGTAGTACCTGATCACAGCTGCTGCTCTGGAAAATATACAGCCTTTATTGATGTGACAGAAGAGGTAGAGAGGGAGCCAGGAGGTGTGTAGGAGTTACAAGGAGATTGGGGCAGAACCAGAAATAGAGCTAGTTTCTAGACAGTATTATCTTTCAAGCTATAAGTTGCAGGATGGACTAAGGGGGGATCCAGATCCATTTTTCAGTCTGGTGTTTTAGACCTGCTACTGTCTGCTGCTGTCCCACATTCCTGTTTTACATATTCTAAGTGCAGTGTGAATTAACAGGGCAGGCAGTTACAGACTCTGAATGTGTCACTCTGTTTATACCCTTGCTTGTTATTTACATGATGTTTTGAACAGCTGCCTTGGGAAGAGGCTTTCATGTATGGAATTTCCCATAACACTGTCACTTGAAAGTTTGAAGAGCTGCCACAGGTATTTTGACAAAACCTATCAACAGGGGAATGTTCAGTGCCATTCAATTCATCTTGCTGTCACATCTAAGTTTAAAAGAGTGTCAGATATAGCTGTTTCACTGTGTTGGGGGGGCACTGTCCTGGGACGACAGATAACTGTGAAGTGGATTAGAAGAAACTCTCTTGGGCAGATAGACCACAAAATGGCAGAGTTCTCTATTCTTGGTAAAACTGCTAGCTTGGACTTCTGGAGGGCAGAAGTTGAAATGTTCAGGAACTGCTCAGGGAGAGTCCCTTGGGATGCAGTCATGAAGGGCAGAGGGGTGGAGGAAGTCTGGATGCTCCTCAAGAAGGAAAACTTCAAGGAACAGGAGCAGGGTGTCTCCGTGTGCAGTGAGATGAGTCGGCAGGGAGGAAGACCAGCATGGCTGAACAGGGATCTTTTGGTGAGTGTCCGGGAGAAAAAAGTTTATGTCTGGTGGAAGAAGGGGCAGGCAGCTTGGGGAGAGTACAAGGAAGTTGCCAGCATATGCAGAGAGTAAATCAGGAAGGCTATAAAGCCCAGCATGAGCTCAACCTGGACATTGTGGTAAAAAAAAAAAAAAAAAAAAAAAATGTTTTTACAAATATATTTAATATCTGCATCTGTCCCGGAGCATATCACCTCAGTGAATGAACATTTATACATATTTTCGGGAAGTTTCCAAGTTGGCAAGTTTGTTACACCTGCATCTATTTAGAGAAACTCAGCATGGTTTCCTTGCTGTTGCCTTGCTTCCTTGAAGAAATTCCAGCCTTCATCCCCTTTCCATTCCAAGTCATAATTGTGCCATGCTCCTCATCTCAAATCTGTTCCAGTGTCATGATCGGCTTCAAACATGAGGTGAGCAGTGAAAAGGCTTGTAACTCAATAGATTTATCTGATATTTGTATTACGTTTCAAAACTTCAAAATATCTTACCTAGTCCTACCCAAATATTTTCAGTTGGAAAGAAATTGATTTTACTAGATGTTTGTATCTAGGTGGCCCAGTATCATTTAGAATAAGACATGCTTAGTAAACACATGTTTTTTGCACATAAGTAAACTACAGAATGAAGCCCAAGGAAAATACTTATAGGTGAACTTGTCTGTGCAGTTGTAACCTTAGAATTTCATTAAGTCACTGCTGGGTACACTGTCTAGCAGGGCTTCAAAACAAAATCATGTAGTATCCATCTTCTCCTTTGGAACACAAATTTAAGCTTAATTGTTAACAGAACTAACAAATATGTCTTAAAGTCAATATAGGGTAACAGAGAAAAAAATCTGCAGGTTGTTTGTCTTAACTCATTAATTATTATTATTTTTTCATTAAAGAATACGTATCCACAAAACTCTAGAACTTCTGGTGAGTTTATGATCAAGCAATGTCCATTTATTTTAAAATGTCAAGATCAGTTTAACCTCAAGATGGTGCTAGATGTTTAAGTTGGCTGTCACAACAACTCTTGTTTGTTGTTTAAATTTTTACAGAATGAAAAATCATCAATAATGTGTAATTGGTTAATCACCAATAAGGAAGGATAAAGGACTCCTATGGATTAATATGTTTATTGAGTGGAGCAGGACATGAATTGATTTGAAAAGACACTGATAATGTCAGTGTCTCAGAATAAAATAGTGCTTGGGAAGAAGCAGAGTACATATAAAAGTTGTTGCAACAACAGTGACAGGAGATGTACAGTGTGCAGTGTGACAGTTTACCAGGTCATGAAGACCAGAATAATGGGATTTTAATTCTGGCAAGTTAAAGTAATTGAAATGTATTAGATAATTGGTAAATATTTAAAGTTCTTGGAGATTTTAAAGAACTATTAGCTCTTTCATTCAAAATAAGTAACATTTAGAGGTACACTAATTATTCCAAATCAAGCAGTTTTTGTGCAAGAAGATGGTTATCCAGTTTTTAAACTATAACAGTGCTATGAAAGTGGTAAGTGCAAACAAAGAGGGCTTAATAGAATGTATCCATACACACATTCATGGATCAACGGGAAAATGGGTCCCTCAAGGCTCCATTTTAGGGCCAGTCCTCTTCAATATCTTTATAAATTTGGACTTGGATGTAGAACTAGAAGGTGTTTTGAGCAAACTAGCCGATGACACCAAACTTGGAGGAGTTGTGGACTCAGATGAGGGTGGAAAGGCCTTGCAGAGAGATCTGGACAGATTGGAGAGCTGGGCAATCACCAACCACGTGAAATTTAACAAAGGCAAGTGCTTTTTTAACAAAGGCAAGGGTCCTGCACCTGGGATGGGGCAACCGTGGCTATACATACAGACTGGGTGGTGAGATGCTGGAGAGCAGCTGAGAAGGATCTGGGGGTTGTGGTTGACAGCAAGTTGAATATGAGCCAGCAGTGTGCCCTGGCAGCCAGGAGGGCCAACCCTATCCTGGGGTGCATCAAGCATGGCATCGCTAGTAGGTTGAGGGAGGTGATTGTCCTGCTCTACTCTGTGCTGGTGCGGCCTCACCTTGAGTACTGTGTGCAGTTCTGGGCACCAGAGTACAAGAAGGACATGAAACTGTTGGAGAGTGTCCAGAGGAGGGCAACAAACATGGTGAAGGGCCTAGAGGTGAAAATGGATGACAAGCTGCTGAGGGCACTGGGCCTGTTCAGCCTGGAGAACAGGAGGCTGAGGGGGGATCTCATCACAGTCTACAACTTCCTCGTGAGGGGGAGTGGAAAGGCAGGTGACCTATTCTCTGTAATCACCAGTGACAGGACCCACGGGAATGATGTTAAGCTGAGGCAGGAAAAGTTTATGCTGGACATAAGGAAGAGGTTCTTCACTGAGAGGGTGGTTGCACACTGGAACAGGCTCCCCAGGGATGTAGTCACTGCATCAAGCCTGTCTGAATTTAAAAAGCGTTTGGACTGTGCACTTAGTCACAAGGTCTAAACTTTTGGTCAGACCTGTGCGGTGCCAGGAGTTGGACTTGATGATCCTTATGGGTCCCTGTTGTCCAAGTTGGAACTTGGGATATTCTGATTCTATGAGCTGCATCATGATGTCTGTACCATTATTCTAACAACTTTCTTAGCAGAAGCAGCTGTACAGATGATGTTGCAGCAGAATAGAAAACTCAGACTGCTGTTGAGGGTTTTCCCTTCAGCTGTGGCAGTGAGTCTGATTTTCTAGTACAGCCAAACTGTGACCAGATGACTGAAAATTCATATTACAACCTTGTTTTGTTGTGAAACAGTTAAGGGAAAGATTGTCAAAGGAGCTTCTGACCATGTTGCTGCTGATTATTAGGATCATAATAATAAAAAAAGTGTTAAGTTTGTATAAACTACTCATAATAAATAAATGTGGTGGTCATTGAAATGGACCTATGGACCTACTTGCTCAGGGAAAAAAAAACAACACAATTCCCAACATGAGATCTGAGTCTGTTTGAAGATCCTGGATTCTGGGCAAGTCTGCTGTGATCAATGGGTGTTGGAAAGCAGCAAGTGTTTCTTCCTCACTCAGTTATTTCTGTTGTTCTTTTCTTTTCTTTTCTTTTCTTTTCTTTTCTTTTCTTTTCTTTTCTTTTCTTTTCTTTTCTTTTCTTTTCTTTTCTTTTCTTTTCTTTCTTTCTTTTCTTCCTTCTCTTCTCTTCTTCTTCTTCTCTCTCTTCTCTTCTCTTCTCGTCTCTCTCTTCTCGTCTCTCTCTTCTCTTCTTCCTCTTCTGTCTCTTCTTATTCTCGTCATCTTACGGCTTCTCTTCTCTTCTTTCATTCTTTCGTTCTCTTCTCTTCTCTTCTTCTCTTCTCTTCTCTTCTCTTCTCTTCTCTTCTCTTCTCTTCTTTCTCTTTTTTAATGCTTTCTATTTTGTCAACAAGATTTAATCTTTTAGAAAAGCTGCAAAATGGGAACAATTTATGTGTCAAGTCAATTTATTTTTCACCAGAAAGGCCTTCAAAAAGATGTTTGTTTAATGAATAACCTAATAAATGAATCAGCAAAATAATATGGGAGCTTGGGGATGTGCACTGACAGCTGGCTTTTTATTTCATTTTTAATTTTGAAATTTTTATTTTGACAGACTTTTGTCTTGGTATCTTCCAATGTTTTTGTGATTGTTTAATGCTAGCAATTACTAATGAAGAGACTGGATCAGCCAAGACAATGTTACAGAAATCTGAAAAACTCTGGCATTGAAAAAGGTTGCTTGATCTCCTGAAATCCTTGGAAATTCGCCAATATGCCTTTGTATTTAAAAAAGAAGACTTTGCTGTCCATCTCATTTGTAAACCTGGAATGACATAAATGAACGCACTGCTGTGTGTACTGCTTAAAGGCTTAATTTCCTTAGTGTTTATGTAATGCATTTCTTGGAGAGAAAGAGTCAGCTAAGTAGAGTGCTTTGGCTTTATTTAAAAAGTGGGGAAATAGAAACTAGACTGTGTCCTACCCACAGATTTCCATCAGTTACAGATAAAAGTATAAATAGCCTAGGAGACAATGTCCTCTTAAATGATGATTCTAAGGGTAGTGGGGCTTTTAAAGCAGATTTTTCTTGGTCTGGGCAGTTATAAAGGAACTGAAAGTTGATTTAAGGTTTTATTTTAGGGGAATGTAATTCTACATCACTCATATTCAGTTTTTAAGCAGGGCAAATTTTTTATGTATAATTTTAGAAAGCTGTTCAGAAGGCAATATCACACTGGCCATCCCAGCTATCTAAAAATCTATTTCAAAATCTATTTCAAAAGGAAAATAAATGACATTTTATAGAACAGTGGGGAAATCAACATAGCATGATTTTTATTTTTTTTTCCAGTAAATTCCAGTGTGACATTCCAGCTAACAGGAGAGACCTGGTAATAAAATTTATGCTTACGTGGTTCAGGATTAATCAAGGGGAGAGCTAGGGTAAGAGTATTTAGCTAAAAGTCATTTTAAGTCACAAGTACCTAAAGATAGATGATTAATTATGTTGTCCACTTTGGGCAATGACTGTGCAGGACAAATTACATTTGAACTTGTCCACATGAGTTTAAAAAAAAAAAAAAAAAGAAAAGCATTGAGTGGCAGTTAAAAATATATATGTATATGTATATGTGTATATATATATATATACTTTTTTCTTCATCAAATCATGTTATGTTAATACAGAGAAAGGTTACCTTTAGCTTCATAGAGGAATTGAGTATAAAGTTGTTTATAGGTATTGATCCTGACACAGGATTCTTCCAGTAACAGTCTCAGAAGTCATCTCATTGAGATGTAGAGGCTGAATGTTTGCACTGACCTCTGCCACACAAAGATCATAGTCAGCATCTGGATCTCCATATGTATGATAAAACTTCTTGCATTAAAAAAGAAAAGCTTTCCAGCAACTATTTTGTCAGGGACAATCATAAAGATAGTCTTTAAGCATCTTATTACACTGTTAATATATTCCCATTGGGAAGTTAAACTAATTAACTTCTCTCTTATGCATACCTTGGTGATATTTTTACATTTCCCAGGGCACACAACCAATCACAAGAGAAGGAAAGTGTCACCTTACAATAGATGCTCCATGCAGGCACTGGAGGACATTTTTAAAGCAAAACGTTTTGTGTGCTGTTAAGTTTCTTGATGAAGTAGAACATAAAATTATGGTCTTTCCTGACATCATTGCTTCAAGTTGGTGGGCATCTCTTCCTTCCCTATTTTCTAATTTTTTTTTTGTTGTGCTCTTGATACGATCATTACCTATTCTACTTGTGTTCTGTAATTGTCAGGGAAAAAAAAAAAAAAAAAAAAAAAGGAATGACTTCAGCATTGAAAGATACAGAGCTATTGAAAAAGCTACAGCAAAGGACCCCTGAGATGGTTAAGGGATGGGAGCATCTATCCTATGAGGAAAGGCTGAGAGAGCTGGGGCTGTTCAGACTGGAGAAGAGAAGGCTCAGGGGGCAGCCAGGCTCTGCTCAGTGGTGCCCAGGGCCAGGCCCAGAGGCAGTGGGCACAAACTGGAGCACAGGAGGCTCCCTCTGAGCAGCAGGAGGCACTTCTGTGCTGTGTGGATGCTGGAGCCCTGGCCCAGGTTGCCCACAGAGGTTGTGGAGTCTCCTCCTTGGAGAGCTCCCAAAGCCGCCCAGACACAGGCCTGGGCCCCCTGCTCGGGGTGGCCCTGCTGGGTCAGGAGGAGCAGATGGGCCTGAGGGGCCTCTGGCCTTAGCCACACTGTGATGCTGTAAGATTGCTGTTCAGTGTTTTGATGTCTGTGGCTCTTGTGTAACTGCAGGAGCAAAAGCCCTGGAGCTATTTGGATCTATTTAGTCTTGAACTAAACCTACTAACCTGGTTGCCTTCTTTTTTTTTAAGGTTCCGTTTCTTCAATCTACTTTGGAAATGAGGCCTTTGGAACAAAACATATTTCAGCAATGAGCATTGGTCAAAGGGAGCAGAACATAATTTAGGTGAGTAATGAAGGACAAAACACAATGCCAGTGTCTGTGTGCAAACTCCCGCTGGTGGCAGCTTCTGTTACTTATAGTATTCTTCCTACTGCAAGTGTATTAATTTAAAAGTATAGTTGTCAATGTATTTTGGAAACCAGCAGTAATACAGAAGGACAAGGACCATTGTCTGCATCTGCACAGTACTTCTATGTGAGATATTTTTAATGATTTGGAATGTAGAATGGCTTTTCTGTCAGTCAAGGTCATTTTTGGGGGGGTAAGGATGGGGGTGATTGTCTGATGCACACAGCAAAGCTCTACCATATTAAATGCAATTCAGCATAATATCCCTAATTTAAGGTGTAGACAATTATGACGGATTAACCAGAGATAATAGCTGTGAACCTTATTCTTTATTATCTGGATCAGCAATGTTGGAAGAATAAATGGAAGACATAAATGAAATAATCTGTTGTTGGGCAGTTGAAGAACACACTAAATCACCTGGCTAACCATGAATGAAGATTATGTTTTTCAACTGACAGAAAAAATCATGGTTAAGGTCACTGAAGATTTATTACTCCAAGGAACATTATTAAAAAAATGTGTTGTCTTTATAATACAATTAACTAAAGGAAGCCTCAATCTGCAGCTAATTCTTTGTTGCAGGCACAAGAATTTGTACAGGGCTTCATTAGATGACAATGTCATCTGATCAAATTGATGGAAATCTATTGAACTGCATGAACTATGTTTTCAAAAGCACAAATAGCAAGGAAGATGTTGGCAGCACTTCCTTCTGACTTCTAGGAAATTCCACAGTTTTATAGCTTTATATTCCAAGGGCAGGATGAGCACAGGTGCTGTTGTTTCTTTTTTCCCAAAGGAAATTTTGTGAGGAAAAGGAATTATGGATGATTTAAGTATGATGTTGCACTTTCTATTTTAAAATATCTAGAATATTAAATGGGTATTAAGTACAATGACTTTTCACACGTTTCATGAAAAAATAGAAACATATTCTGAAAAATATTTAAACCATATTGAAATGATTATCATTTAAAATATGCCTTCATGAAAATCTGTATTTAAAAGAAATTTCAATTCCTATGAGGATATGACTCACACTGAAAAAACTTGGATGAAAAAATGCTACAAGTCCTACTCAAGACTATTTGTCCCCTTAAACATTATCTTCCTGTGGGAGGCCAGTGTGGAAAACTTAGGCCCATATTTACACCATGTAACTTCAGCAGTTTCCTGACTGTGATCAACAAGGAGGCTTTTTGCTGAGATGGCCAATGTGGAAAGATGGACAGCTCCAGGGATCCTGCATCCCAAGTGGCAAAGCCTTTTCTCTCCACTGATTGGAGTATCAAGGTATCTCCCAGTGCTTAGAGGATACACAAACCAGAAATATTTGGGTCAGACTGAAGGATCTGTGGTTTATTCCATGCTGGTAACCTTAACCGACAAATCTTAGCCATTTCATTGAAGCTTGAAAGGGTCTACCCCTAGCTAGCTATCTTGCTCTGGTCTGTCTAAGGAGGTTCCCTGTTGCCATTTCCAGTGCAATTCAGTCTGGTCAGTTAACTTACACCATAAATTTGTGTGTCATGAAACTGAAAATCTCTGGTTCAGCCTCTACTTTGGGAATCCCTGGGCAGCTGTAGAAACAACAGAATCACAGAATCACAGACTTTCTAGGTTGGAAGAGACCTCAAGATCATTGAGTCCAACCTCTGACCTAATAATAACAGTCCCCACTAAACTATATCCCTAAGCTCTACATCTAAAGGATTTCATACTGAGTCCTTACTTTCTGTCAGCAAATACATTCAAGATTACTGGGTAATAATTCCAGGCAGATTGAGGAGCTTCATGGATGTTTTGAAGTAATATATATTGTCCACAGATTTTCAATTCAGTGAATTTGAGTGTGTAATAGACTGTGATGAAGCATGCAGGCCTGTCAGTGCCCCTGGAGAGGACTCTGAAGTCATTTCACACTCTGTGCTGAGCAGGTTCTATTAAGAATAGATCCTGCCAAGCCAAGTCCACAGGAGTTAAATTCCCAACTAGAGTCTGAATCTATTCAGGGTGTTACTAATAATGGAAACATCATTATCTGCAGCCAAACTCATTTACATTTGGTATTTTGAAAGAAGGGAATTGGGATTAGTTAGGAGAGGACTGGTCTTCCTCCCAGCCAAAGGGGTGAGCACTGGTGTTACTCAAGAGACATTTTGATTTCCTGCTGTCATGTTTATTGATTGTCAGCATACATGGATGACATGCAGCTACAGATCCTTCCTTGAAACAAAGCTGTCCTTGAGTGTTTTGACAGCCTCACACGCATCTTGTTTAGATTTTTAAAATGTATTAGCTGTAGTTCTAAAATCAGCACAGTAGAATTTGCATGAGCACGCATTTCTACTGGACACTGGATCTTCTGTTAAAATATGGATAGGGATTGATTTTTTTTCCAAGTCATTCCAATCCATAGATCAATCAGCACCCAGAAGGTAAGTGGTGATACTAGAAGTATGCAATAATTTGGATACTCAAATGATATAGCAACATGACATAGCAGACAGAAGCCACAGCCAGCAGGTATTTCTAGATCCAAGCCTGCAGATGTTTCCAAAGGAGCTGACCTACTTTGAGTGGAGTTTATCGGGCTCAAAGAACACCGAGTGGGTACAATTTTGTGGCTTATATTCAAACTCACACTAGGTGGCAATAATGGACCCCTAAAGGTTTAGAATAGGACCTATAGAAAATGGTTGCATTTTCTACTTTGTAAAGTGAGAACTGCCTTTTGCTGTCCTGTTCTGCCTTTCTTACAGATGTGAGTTTTGCTTCCTCCCCATCTATTGTTAGAAGATAAATCCAAAGTCTGTGTTTTCATTTGCTACAGGAACATCATTGTACACATTTTCTTCAAAGCACTAATCTGAGAACTGACTCTGATCAGGCCCGTTAAATTCTTTCCATGCACTCCTTTCCTATCAGTGGAAATAAAGTATTAGCCTTGGGAAATATTATCTCACCTCCTGCAGTGGCCATGACTGTTCTGGGGCCTCTGATGCCCCAGAGTGCCAGAGTGATTTTAAATACCATCCACAGTGAGCTAATATTGCCAAAGAGATTTCAAATACCAGCCAGCCTTTGCTATTCACACCCGAGTAGTTTAAAATATCAGCACTAGAGTAGCCTCATAAATTAGCAGCACATAACATCTTTTCATTACAGATGTGGCAATGTCATCCAAGAAAGTTAATGACTTACGCAACAGGAAATGGTCTTCCAGGTAGCAAATGTTCAGCAGATCACAGTATTCCATTTATAGCATAGAAGATGATCTAAAATGTCACTATTGCTCTGGAGAAAACAAACTACTGCCTCCAAACATGTATGCTATGCCAGTGAAAAAGTGTTTCTCTTGCTAGTTCAGGTAGTTAACATTCATGTCCATCTCTTACACCGCCTGTTGTCTTTAGCAATCTATGGCTCTGTGTAATAGTAATATGTGGTGATTTTCTCATGGTGAATGTTGGTAGTTAGGACTAAAATAGTGCTTTTCTTTTCAGATGCTTCAAAACTCACTACAAATCCTACAAATTCTCACGGCCTCTCTGTGACTTTGGTTTTGTTTAATTAGGAACAATTGCAATGAGATGAAGAAAGGGAAAAGTAAACTTTTCTTGAGGCTACCTCCATGGCAAACAGACCTGAGTACCTCAATTCTCAGTCTGCTGACCTCATTGTTACAGGATGAAATACTGTTTCCAACTAAATGGGATTTTTCATACCTTTCTATGGGGCAACTGATTTTGTAGCATTCTCAGGTGAAGTTTTACAGCAGTCAGAGTTTCTTAGGTAATGTCTATTGAAATTCCTATGATTTATACCTAGAGTATAGGGATCAGCAAAGTCTTCCACTCTCCCAAAAAGAGACTGAAATAGTGTGAATAAGCCTGAAACAAAGCAAAGAGTATGTAATGTCAGCATGTTCTCACAAGTTTGAGCTTTCCCTTTTACATTCACTAATGTCTAGCTTCCTAGGAACAAATTCCGAGTTGTGTGTGGGGATGACATAAATTTTTACTCTTTGGGAAGTTAACTCCAATTTTTAAGATGGTGGGGTAGCACTGTCTGTTTTAGACTTCCTTCAGTAAAATGACTTCTTAATTATTTACACCTGCTGTCCACTTTCACATGGTTTCACTTTGCTACAAGTACGTTGTCAGTAGGCTTTCCACCTGTAAGTAGAGATGGAAAAGGGGGAGCTTTGCTTCTGCCAGGCTTGTGGCAGGGATATAATATATAAAGTCCCTAGAGTTGCTCTCACTAGTTTGGGCCAGAAGCACTTGGACTCAAAGGCCTGTCAACAGCGTGTCTTATCCAACCCACCTAAAAACTGTGCTTGTTGAGCCAAGTCACTTAAGTGGCCAAATTTCAGTCTTTCCAGGACACCTGATAGGTGCTGTGGAACATGGCAAAAACTAAATGTCTGGCTCTGAACTCCTGGATTGCTACATTTCCCCCAAATGTTCCTAAAATATCACATAGAGAGTAATTGTTCAGCTGTCTCAGACACTTTCTGCAGTCTCTACCTCACATTCTTTTCAGTCCATTCAGGAGCATTCAGAGCTTCAAAACCTGCAGACAGATAGACTTTAAAAAAGGGGTAGAAAAGAGGGGAATGCATTAGTCAGAGTTTAACAGTTGCTTTCCAGGAATATGTCATGTCTTTACAAGCTTGAAAGTTTTCCCTGGTTACTGAGTCATTTCTGCACAGAGTTATTCTGGGCCATTCAGTCTATGATCCTGTGTTGCATTCTTCACACAGTTGCATAACAAAAATAAGTCATGCCGAGTTCATTCAACGTCTTGTGGATGATTTGGGAAAGTATTTGACAATAGCCACAGGTCAGGATAGTTGAGTCAGGTTACATTATTACAACTTGCCAGAAACCAGGCCAGAGGGCAACATTCAGCATGGCAAAAACCATTCTGGAGGGTTTTTCATCGCAGTTTTGTGTACCTAATATAGCTTCTATTCTCACTTTTATGGAACACAGAAGAGAAATTGTTCTAGACAAGTTAAAATCAAAGACTCGAACTGTAAATAATCTTTTTGTTGATAGCAGACTGGAGAAAATGGTTTAGTTACATGGATACTATTACACCTGTGAGGAAAAGCAGCCTGGTTTCAAGGGTATGTAAATCTGGTTTGGTCTTTGTATTTTTATACTAGGGTCACAGAGAGGAGAATCAGGGCTATGTTGTGTATAATTTTAGCTGAAAGTCACCTTTTCAGAAGTAAAGAATAATTCTGAAAGGTCACAGCCTTGTGTGAGAAGGGAAATGAAGTCCCTGCCAACCCCTTTTTCTGTCATCTGTTGCTGACCCACCTGCTGACCTCTTGCAGAATCCCCCAGCTCTGAAGGAAACCTCTGGATTTATGACAATAAAGTATGCCTTTGAAAAATGCCTTTCCTGTTCTCTCCTCACTGTCACTATGTGTTGTCCAGCCTTCAGTCAAGAGGATCAGTTTTATTCCGGTACTAACATCTGATTCCTGCTGCAGCTAGCCAATTTTCTTCCCTCTTTCCAGTTTGCTGAACATCCCAGAGGCTGAACGAGTTGTGTTGCCACTCACTGTTCTAGTTTCTGGTACAAAGATTTTTTGTGCTGAACCCCAAAATACTGAAGATCTTGTTACATGGGAGGATGGTCATCATGTGAAGCGGTGGAACAGAAATCAGAAAAGTTTGAATTATTGGAAAACTTATTTTTTTTTTTTCTGTTGTATTTGCCATTAGCAAATCATAAAATCTTGGATTTCTTTTTTCCCTTCCATACATACAATGAATCAGCAGAAATATTGAAGTAGGATTCTCAACAGACAGCTTTAAAGCCTGGCTGGATTGGACCTACCATATGTTAAAAGTTAGAAAAAATATTGCTTAAAAAACATGTTTTCCTGTTTAGATATTTAACATTACAGCTTTTCTTAGAAGGTAGATAGCAGTCAAACTGTGTATGCCCTGGGTACACAGTAATAGTAAAATTTTAATGTGCTGTTCACAGTCCGGGAGAGGTGTGGATCACTGATACCATGTAGGTCTCGATGGCATCACAGTGGTCTTGACTAAGTGGCAGAGCTCACTCAGTAGTACAGTGCTCTCAGGTTGAGTGGGTTAGAGACAGCTGTCACTGTTTGGAAGTGCCATCTTTTCTGCAAACTCATTGCATGTAGCTGCCTTGGATATGGTGCCAGAAGAGGCCCCAAAACTGACATCTGACTGGCTGGACTCTGTTAGCTACTGCAGAAACAGCAGAAGTGCACCTCAAGGAACAGAGGCAATCTCCTTCCTGCTGCTTTTGGAAAAAAAACTGTTCAGAAAGTGATAGGGGTGGGGGAGGAAGGTGGAAAACATTGGCTACTGATTCCTTCTCTCTTGTATTGCAGACAATTCCATTCCTGTGTTGTGAATAGCTCAAGGAAAATAGCCCATAAAGGGAGATTTATTAGGAGGCAGAAGGAAAGGTAACTCTGTCCTTCAATATGTGATATATTCATTTTGGATCTTGTGATAAGCAAGCAGCTGTGCTCACATGTATTATATAACAAAACTGTTCTGGCATCCATACTCAGATGATTTCAGTCACATCCAAATTTCCCTTTGTACTGCAGTTAGAGTGGGGCTGGTATCTTGTTTTATAGAGATTTAAACTAGCCAGAGTGGCCTTTTTGAAAAAGGAAGTTTACACCCATTCTGTTTACTTGACATCATGGAAGTGTTATAAACGATCCTTTATATGGCAGAGAATCTCACCTTTATGTATTAGTGTAGAAAACAGATAAAAATGTTAAGTAAATATTTAAAAAAAAAAAAAAAGCAACAATAAAAAAAAAGGAAATGAGGAGAGATTATTTGGCTTTCAGAATTGCCCAAGTATTAATATAAGCTGCACTTGTTTCTATCCAATATGATCTGAAAATCTCCTGAAACACTCTCTGAAATGAAGAATGGCCAAGTTTGCAAAAGTCCACTAGTATGCAGTGACATACCTTTCAAAGCCTGTCCTCAGTCCAATATCACACAGAATCACAGAATCACAGAATTTCTAGGTTGGAAGAGACCTCAAGATCATCGAGTCCAACCTCTAAACTAACACTAACAGTCCCCACTAAACCATATCCCTAAGCTTTACATCTAAACATCTTTTGAAGACTTCCAGGGATGGTGACTCCACCACCTCCCTGGGCAGCCTGTTCCAGTGCCTAACAACCCTTTCAGTAAAAAGTTTTTCCTAACATCTAACCTAAAACTCCCCTGGCGCAACTTAAGCCCATTCCCCCTCGTCCTGTCACCAGGCACGTGGGAGAACAGGCCAACCCCCACCTCACTGCAGCCTCCTTTAAGGTATCTGTAGAGAGCGATAAGGTCGCCCCTGAGCTTCCTCTTCTCCAGGAAGAACAAGCCCAGCTCCTTCAGCCGCTCCTCGTAGGACTTGTTCTCCAGACCCCTCACCAGCTTCGTCGCCCTTCTCTGGATCCGCTCAAGCACCTCGATGTCCTTCTTGTAGCGAGGGGTCCAAAACTGAACACAGTACTCGAGGTGCGGCCTCACCAGAGCCGAGTACAGGGGGACGATCACCTCCCTAGCCCTGCTGGACACACAGTTTCTGATACAAGCCAGGATGCTGTTGGCCTTCTTGGCCACCTGAGCACACTGCTGGCTCATATTCAGCCGACTGTCCACCATCACTCCCAGGTCCTTCTCTGCCTGGCAGCTCTCCAACCACTCATCTCCCAGCCTGTAGCTCTGCTTGGGGTTATTGCGCCCCAGGTGCAGGACCCGGCACTTGGCCTTGTTGAACTTCATGCAGTTGACCTCAGCCCATCGGTGCAGCCTATCCAGATCCTCCTGCAGAGCTTTCCTACCCTCGAGCAGATCAACACACACACCTAACTTGGTGTCATCTGCAAACTTACTGAGGGTGCACTCAATGCCCTCGTCCAGATCATTGATGAAGATGTTAAAGAGGACCGGCCCCAGCACTGAGCCCTGGGGGACGCCACTAGTGACCGGCCTCCAACTGGACTTGACTCCATTCACCACGACTCTTTGGACCCGGCTATCCAGCCAGTTTCTAACCCAACGAAGCGTGCGCCAGTCCAAGCCAAGAGCAGCCAGTTTCTTGAGGAGAATGCTGTGGGAGACGGTGTCAAATGCCTTGCTGAAGTCAAGGTAGACCACATCCACAGCCTTTCCCTCGTCCATATAGCTTGTTACTTTGTCATAGGAGGAGATCAGGTTCGTCAAGCAGGATCTGCCTTCCATAAACCCATGCTGACTGGGCCTGATCACCTGCTTGCCCTTCAAGTGCTGCATGATGACTCCCAAGAGGATCTGCTCCATGAGCTTCCCTGGTACTGAGGTCAAACTGACAGGCCTGTAGTTTCCCGGGTCTGCCCTCCGGCCCTTCTTGTAGATGGGCATCATATTTGCTAGCCGCCAGTCAGCTGGGACCTCCCCCGATAGCCAGGACTGCTGATAAATGATGGATAGGTGCTTGGCCAGCTCCTCTGCCAGTTCTCTCAGAGAATATCTTACAGCTAATTTGTTGTTTCAGTTAATTTTGACATAAACTAGAGCAGACTCTATTTAATAAAACCTTTGCCTTGTAAAATATTTTGGTATAAACTGATTTTTTATTGCTGGATATCAACCAGTTAAAGGTGAGCTTCTGTCACGTAAAGGGCAGTGTGTATGTATTGCCAGTGATATGATTAAACCAAACTGATTAGTATTTCTTAACAAGCTGCTTAATATTTTTAAAAGCATTTTTTTTTGTCCGGTTTTATGGGCATTTTCAGACTAAACAAATCAAAGAGGATGCCATAATCAGTTTAAAAGGATTTTGAGAGGCATGTGCAAAAACTTATACAATGTCTTGAGCTGCATTTGCCAGTTCTACATCGTCACTAGATGGCCATGACAGGCTTTCAGGCAATCAAAAACAAAGAATTTGAAGTGATTTATGGGAAAGTGATAGAAGAGTAGGTATAAGAGAAATGAGATTTGGAGGCAGAGAAAATATTTTTCATTAGAGCAATGGAAATTTAGAAAAGTAGAAAAGCATTTCACCACCAAATCCTATTATCAGGTTTCTGGTTTTCCTGGCTGTTTTAACTGCTTTGATATAAAGCATGACTGCTTTCTACAGCCTTGCTTCCATGAGTCAAAGCTTATGTCATACCTGTAACAGCAGTGTTACTGCTACAGCACTGAGCAAATACATGCTACAGCATGAGCTGAACAAGCACTAAGCAAACAGATCAGTCTGTGAATGTGGGAATACTGGCAGTAATGGCAGCAGAGCTTTGGTTTTGTCAAAAGCTCTTTGCAAGCGTCAGTGCACATTCTGGCTGTGAATGGAGCATATCATGTCAGAGAGAAGGCATTTCATTACTAGTTGGAAAATACAGTGTGTATTAAAGTAGTGGAAAGGATTTTATGTAGAGTGAACCTCAGTGTTAAATAGTATTTGCCTGCTTCTAATTTCAGGTCCAAAGGACTGGTGAAGTGATCTTCCACAACACTTTTCCTCAAGAAGGGGAAGAGGAAGACGTCTTTTCTCTCACTATGTGATTTTCTTTGCAATAATGGAGGAATCATAGAATCATTAAGGTTGGATAAGACCTTCAAGATCATCTTGCATGAAGTTGCGGTGGCCAAATAGCCTTCCATTTATTAAAAGCTTATAATTTCACTTTGCAGAGAGTGCCTACATTTGTGAGATAGCTTTTCACATGTGCTGTATCGATTGTGGTATCTGTACCAAGTGAAGCATTGTTATTAAACTTCTTTTTTCCCTTAACCTTTTGCCATGAAAGGTCAAAATATCTTAATTCTGAGGCAACGGTCATGCCGATGAGTGGCTTGCTCTTTTGCCCATATATCTTACCCTTTTTCCCCCTTAATAATCTACCTATTCAGTGATTTGAAAATAATTGATAAAGTCCTATGCCAAGTTTTCAGTCCAATGCACTTGCTTGCAGTTATTTTGGTTGGGTATGCAGGAGGGAGAATTGCAATATCTGTGACATCAAATGTCAGTTTGCTTCTGTGAGGCTTCACCCAGAATAGATGCTCTTCACAATAACAATGAAAAGCCCTTGGTCCTGTCCCATGGACATAAATAGCAGAGGCCCAGCCAGACGGTTTTGCACGTGGGAAGCTATTTCTTTTCAAAAGTTTGGGAATGCAACGGTCTGGCTAGCAATGGGCTCACTCCCTTTTCAACCTGATGCATTGTGGCAGTTGGGTATTGGGAAAATTCTTTCACAAGAGCAGAACAAGAAAGCTGCTGAGAGCTGGGAGAGGGTGCAGTACATATTTGTTTGCATCACAGCTTTTTGGCCATCCTTGCAAATGTGAGGTGAGTCTTCTGGCCTAGGGCAGGGAGCTGTCCCTGCCTGCCTCCCAGATATGTTGTCTTTTCAAATAGAATCATAGAATCATAAAGCTTGGAAAAGACCTCCAAGATCATCTGGTTCAACCGTTACCCTGCTACTGATGTAAACTACTAAACCATGTCCCTAAGCACCACGTCCAACCTTTCCTTGAACACCCCCAGGGATGGTGACTCCACCACCTCCCTGGACAACCCATTCCAATGCCTTACCGCTCTTTCTGAGAAGAAATGTCTCCTAATTTCCAACCTGAACCTCCCCTGGGTAGTTAGGTAGTGCCTGAGCCTTTGAAATTACGTATAAACAGCTATTCCCACAAGCTGACCATTCTGCTGGCACAGTCAGGAAATAGCAAGGAAGTTCTCACTGGGCTGTTTTCAGAACAAAAAACCCCAAAAATGTTTTATTCTCCCTTATTTTATGTTACCAAGCAGGAGATCACATCTATCCTGAGCTAAAAAAACAAAAGTAGTTTTTGTATAATACTTCTTTAGTCTTCTGTTTTGCTTACAAGTGAGTATGATTTAGAGGTAAAGGAATAAGAGGCAGTATTATTTCTCAAATAGTTTAGGCTTAAATTCATAAAATTTAACAAATGAATAATTCACTGAATATATTTGTCAATTATTTATCCACCTCTGTATGCTGAATAAATATAGCCTGATGAGCTCAAGAGAATCAGTGCCTTTCTAATGACATCACCATGTTTTGGATCAGGCCTTGCAATGAAAAAAACAACATTGACAAATAATTTATTTGAAGCAATTCCATAAAATCTTGACAAGTTGTTCTCAATTTGTGATTTGTATAAATTGCTTTCAACCAATGTCAAACATATTTTGAAAAGTGTATGGTCTGTTCAAATACAGTTTGTAAACAGAAAATTTTAGCTTTTCCACCCACCTGTGTGTGGGTGTAACTTTTGGGCAATTCATACTTTGAAGAAAGCCAACATTTTTAAGTGGCAAAACTAAATGGATCATATAAGCAGGTGATTAAAAATTGTTTTTTAACAACAAACAGAAATTTTAAAACTTGAAACTATATCCAATCTGAAATAAAAAAATAATAATTTTAATTAAAGGAAACTGGTAAAAAGTATTTAAATTGCAAAATTAGAATGTTCATAGGCTATGAAAAATAATTTACATTGAAAAAGTGTGTTTCAGCAAAAAGGTGTTGATGTGTGTGCAATCTAGCCTTGTTATATTTTGGACATTTTTTTGGTCTTCTGCAGCACCAGGAGTGACAATGACAAATAGACAGAGGTTCCATTTGCAACAAATTAGGTCCATGCAGGACATAGTCCTGGTTTTGCTGTTACATAGGGAACATGGGTCATATTCTAAGTTTATCCTGAGCACTTGTACTCAGAATGTTCCAAAGTGCAGGAATACAAACTAATACATCTGCAGAAGATGTAAAAATGCTGCTACTGACATGAATGCAAGGAAAAGCAAATGTATTTTATAGGTATATGAGTGGAAGAAAGGCATCTACACAAGCAAAATGGTGCTTGGATTACTGAAGAAGCAATGATGTTGATGTTTCATCTAATATTATGACTTCCCGTTATTGTAAGTAATTACATTTGATTACAAACAGTAATTGCTTATTGTAGTGCTTCTATTTCTATGTGTACAATTCCATATTTAAAAAAATGTGAAGTTATAGAAATAGTTTAATGCTACTGCTTTGAAGAGTAGAAGTCCCACTTCTTCTCATACTGACACTATCTCCCTTTCATCACATTGTTCCATCATGATCGCCTCTTTTCTCAGTAAAATTTACCTGTTTGAATACTGCATGCGGCCACAAAACAAGGTGTGGTTTGTGTCGTGCACTCACAGATTGCATCCCTTGCTATATAAGGAAGACGAAACTGGCAGTCTTGCAGTGTGATTTCTTGCAGGCATTGTTTGTTCTGGATTTTCTCCAAGGAGAGCAGACAATCTCTGAAGAAATGACTGATGCAGGTTACTCTAACACTTCATGGAATCATAGAATCATAGAATATCCTGAGTTGGAAGGGACCCTTAAGGATCATCAAGTCCAACTCTTGACACCGCACAGGTCTACCCAAAAGTTCAGACCATGTGACTAAGTGCACAGTCCAATCTCTTCTTAAATTCAGTCAGGCTCGGTGCAGTGACCACTTCCCTGGGGAGCCTGTTCCAGTGTGCAACCACTCTCTCTGTGAAGAACTCCCTCCTGATGTCAAGCCTAAACTTCCCCTGCCTTCAGCTTAATCCCGTTCCCGCAGGGTCCTGTCGCTGGTGTTAATGGAGAAAAGGTCTCCTGCCTCTCGACACCCCCTTACGAGGAAGTTGTAGACTGCGATGAGGTCTCCCCTCAGCCTCCTCTTCTCCAGGCTGAACAGGCCCAGTGCCCTCAGCCGTTCCTCATACGTCTTCCCCTCCAGGCCTTTCACCATCTTCGTAGCCCTCCTCTGGACACTCTCCAACAGTTTCATGTCCTTTTTATACTGTGGTGCCCAGAACTGCACACAGTACTCGAGGTGAGGTCGCACCAGCGCAGAGTAGAGCGGGACAATCACCTCCCTCGACCTACTAGAGACATCCAGGAGATTAATTTTTGACCAGCCCGGTTGGTGTTACAGTCAGACAAGTCCCAATCTGTTGGCAGCATGAGCAGTGTGCTTTTCTGTTCAAAGCTACCATGTAGATGTGCCCTGGGAGACTTTCCTCTACTTCAGCTGTGCCAGCTGTGGGACAAGTATTTGCTGAGATTGGCAAAAGTGCAAAGGTCAGAGTGCAATCTGGACAATCTTCCTGAGGAGGTTGTTTCAAAGAATTTTGTAGTTAATAGTGATAACTCTGATTATGTGGAAAAACACAGTTTGTTGAAAGAGCTGCTTTTTTTTTTTTTTTTTTTTTTTTTTTTTTTTTAAGATTACAAATTTGGCTGATTTAACAGGAAATGGGACATCGGGACATCAGATGGGAGTCTGGCTATATATGTCTCTGGTTTAAAAAATAGACAGACACTAGAACAAATATACAGTAAATTTTAGTATATATAAAACATCTTTAGAAGTGTGCATATTTCTATTAGAGCTATACAGTTCAAGGATGAATGAATGAAGGGCATTCCTATGACTTTTTTTAAAAATAAATTTTAAATTTATTTAAGCAAATAAATAAAAATGTTACATTTATTTAAATAAATGTTAATTATTATTATTTTTTTTAAATAAATGATCAAGGAAGTTGATCAAACTTCCTTGTGCCACCCTAACTGATGAGTCTGATGGTGGGATACAAACTTTCTAGCATAATTTTATCGGCAATCTAAGACCTGCTATTTTGAATACTTCTTTCTTAAGAGGGCTCTGCTTAACTACTTGAGCAGTCACGGACAGAGTCGGAATATTAGAGTTGCTCTGAGAGTTTTAGGTGTAAAAAGAAAAGTATTTTTGTGTTTGTGCTAATTAGAATATTTTTTTAGAGTTTGAGTGGCTAATCTATTTTGCTAGATGAATGGATATGTCTTTCTTATTCTAAGGAAAGTTGAGCCATGCTGTTGGCTGATACTCTGGCAGAGTGGCACAGTTTTACTGGTTTCAGTGGGATTATATTGATTACTGTAGATCATATCACAACCCCAACCCTACATGCTTTTTGTACAGAGATGATGTTCACAAATAAGGTATTCTGAACTATATTCTCTCACATCAATTAACTTGTTTACAAGATGCAGTAATTACATTTGTGCATGGAAGCATATGGATCAGAGCACAATTTCATGCAATTAAGCTCTATTTTTGAAATTCCCTGAATTACAGAACCTGAAGCTCTTTTCTGATTTCGATGTATTAATTGATTTGTCCTGCTTTAATATTAATGTAAAACTATACACATAATGTATTATACTTGCAACTTTTAGTGTGTTGCCTTTAATAGTCATTTAATTCTTAAGTATTAATTCGGATAAATTATGATCTATTATCTTTAGGTGTGATGAATAATCTTATGTATACAGTTTGCATTCTGCCTGTCATTAGATATATCAGTTTTATAACAAGTGACAGTGGTAAAAATATAAAAATTAGAATGTAGGCTTTAGAATTTACAAATTAGGAAAAAAAAAAAAAAGAAAAGCTGTCTATAATCTCTTCAGAGTCTCAGCTGCATACATTGGTGCTGCCATTTGTTGACAGTGAACAATTCAGGACCTTGCAGTTTGGCTTCTCATGACAGCAAACATTATCCTCAGGCTCTGATTCAACCCTAAATATGTTAAACAATACAACTGGGCAGGTATGCTAAAATGACGATGCATCTGGTGCACCAGCGGTTGATAGGAAAAGTCAAGTATTCCAAAGGTAACAGATCATAAGAAGCAACACATCTTCAGTGTGGCTGAGTTCAGACCAGAAGTCCTTGAAGAGCTATGAGGACAACAGCCTTTTCACATTATTGCACAGCTCAAAGGCTGGATAGAAAATGTCAGTGTTTCTCGGATTGTTTTGGCATGAAAAAGCGAAGGAAGAATTTTGACAATGCAGTTGGTATGCCACTGCCTTTGTCCACACTCTGTTTCAAAGGCTTTAAATAGATGCTTTCAGCTACCGTCTCTTGTTCAGCATAATGCTCTGTAGCAAAGTGGAGGATACTAAACTCCAATGAATGTGGTTTGGTTGACTGTGTCTTAAATTGTTTAAGGGTGTGCATAGAATGTGTAAGGAGAAATAGTTTGCTGTTGAATACCAAAGCAGGGAAAGAATAGATTTAGGTCTGAATTGTATCTATGTGCAGGCAATCACACAAAGACCCTTTGAGGACATGGGCACTGTCACAGAAAATCAAACAAAGGTGCATTTAGCCCAGTATTATTTCTTTGCTGTTGACTAGCAGCTGATACCTTCAGAAGAGGTGAGAAAGATCTCTTACTGTCAGCTTCACACTTGCATACAGTATTCAAATGTTTTTGATGCCTGAAGAGGGCAAAAATGTTTTGATAAATCTCAGGATTGCCATCCCATTAGCACATCCCTGTCACTGGCAGAAGGATTAGGGAGTTGAGCTAAGACCTACTTGGATAGCAGGAACAGTGTCTTATTCAGCTGTGTGTGGGATTGTGCTCAATACACCACTTGGGAGGGACTCTATTATCACACTTTACCCATTATTTTCATTGCTTGTTCACCTGTAAAACCATCTATAGCTTCAGATGGGGCTGGGATGACAGGACAGCCTTGGTGGAATGAATAGGATTTGCAGAAGGACAACACTGACCAAATAGGGAAATATCCCCCACTGCTATGCACCTAAAAATGATAAAAAGATTGTGAAAGTGTATTTAATTGACAGAGGGCCATTTTGCCTACATCCTGTCTCCTACTAGAGGTAGGATAGGAATGAAGGGCCAGAATTTGTAATGACTGTCAGAGTTCATTTAACTAATTTCTCTGGGGAGGCAGGGGTGACTCTGACTACTTCAGCTTTTGTTGTTACTTTACGGAAACACCATCTTTTCCCTGATTGTTTTGGGATACTATTATGTATAAGGCATTTGTGAGTTATCCTGCCTAAAGGACAATGTTGCATTCCCTAAAGGATGGATATGTTGCCATGCAAGGTATCACAAGTTTGGTGTGTTTTGCTTTACTTTTGTTTATGGTTCACTTTCTCCCTCATCTTATTCTCATTCAGCCTCAGAGGCATGGTAATGTATTTAAAGTGCAGATTTACATAGTAGCAATTTGTCAGTTACCCTAAAAGAAGCAGGTGCAATGCTTCAGCTCACAACAAGAATGTGATTCCAAGCCAAAC